CTTTTGGTAAAGATTTTCTCCATCTAAGCCCCAGTTCAACTGCTTTCCCCAAGTTTTGATTATTGTTCAGTTAAAAATATTTATAATTCTACTGTTATTCTTTGACTCATCAGTTATTTCTGAATGTGTGTCTTGGTTTCCAACTATACCAAGATTTTCCAGTAAACTTTCTGTTGTTAATTTAATTTAAAATTTATTTACATTATGATCACAACTCAATTATTCAAAATTTCTGAGCCTCACTTTTTGGCCTCACAAATGGTCAAGTTTTATAAATGTTCTGCATGTGTGTGTCCTGCTAGTTGGTTACAGTGTTCTGTACATTAGTTGTTAGCTTAAGTTTTGAGTCACGCAGTTCAAAGTATCCGTATCTCTGCTTTTATCCGTCTCCTCCATATTTCTTTCACCTTTCCTATCCTAACCAAAAAAGAAACTAGACTGTGGCTGTAGTTGAGCAGTCGCTTGCATGCTTAGCTTGTGCATGTGTGAGGCCTTGGGTTCAGTCACTAGCACTAAAATAAACAAAGGAATGGCCTAAGGGTTGGCACAATTTGTTGTTAATTTTCTAAAAAATTTCCCGGTCTATTTGTTTGGAAATTTACATCCTTTTGCTATTACGTTAATAGTCATATTCCATTAATGGTTACCTTATCAGACTGTAATGCCTATGAATACCAAAGTCACTTCTGATACAATACAAGGTTCTTAGAAAACTTGAATTCTCTTCATGCCCTTCCTGATGACTTCCTTACTGTATAATAATTTACTTTAACAAAAGCAGATTAGATGGGCGAGAGCCAAAGCTTGGTGGTTAAAGAGTGCTTCCTGCTGTTCCAGGGGACCTGGGTTCGATTTCCAGCAACCACAACTGCCTGGAACTCCAGATCTGGGGTCTCCAACCCCTCTGGCCTTTGAAGACACCTGCACTCGTGTGCATGTACCCACACACAGATAGACACATACACATACTGTTTTTTTTTTAATTTTTCTATTTATTTTTATTTTATGTGCATTGGTGTTTTGCCTACATGTATGTCTGTATCCTCTGGAACTGGAGTTACAGACAGTTGTGAGCTATTATATGGGTGCTGGGAATTGAACCTGGGTCCTTCTGAGAAGCAGTCAGTGCTCTTAACCCCTGAGCCATCTCTCCAGCCCACATACTGTTTTTAACGTCGTAAAATGAATCAGAGTAGAGGTTTGATCTGCGTTCTTAGGTGTCACATTTACTTTTATCAGTATCTGCATATGTCGCCCTACACTACCACTTTCCTTGCTTTTCATTCTTTTGTACATCTTGTTATCCTGAGGTCATTCCCTCCTGAGGACATCTGCAGAATTTTCAACGTGATATATTGGTGAAAACTTCTCTGTTTTTATTTTCTAAAAATATACTGATTTTCTGAATATTAATTGTGACTGACATTGCCCTAAGGGCATCAGATTGCCAAGAGCAGGGTTCCCATGAGCATCCCTGTGCTGGCTTTGACTTGAGAGGAGAAGTGTCCATCAGCACTCAGCTTCTTTGGTGGGCTCATGATGCCTGTCTCAGGAGAGTTGCTGAAATCCTTAAGAAGAGACAACAGATGGAAAAACCCTGCCTCAGAGTGCAAAGGCAGCCAAAGGTAATTATTATTTCTAATGAACACTTCCTCTCCTAACTTTCAGGAAGGCTTTTGTTTGTTTGTTCAGTTTTAGAGACAGAGTTTCTTTGTGTAACAGCTCTGGCTGTCCCTAAACTTGTTTTGTGGACCAGGCTGGCCTCGAACTCACAGAGATCTGCCCCCACTAGTGCTGAGATTAAAGGTGTGCACTACTACCACCCAGCAATGAAGGTTTAATTTCCACAGTTGGAAACTAAATATGGCCCTTTTGAAGTCCTCACAGCTCTTATAATTGGAAGCCCCTTCCTCTTGTTTCCAACCCGGGGCCAGGGATAAGTTATACTTTCTCTAAAGTTTAAGCCCTGGTGTTTTTCTGGGATCTAACCTGGGAATCTTTATATGATCAGCATTTTTTTGATCTGCAGGGAGAGAGAGAGAGAGAGAGAGAGAGAGAGAGAGAGAGAGAGAGAGAGACTAGGACTAGGTCTGGCATGGGTTTTTGAAACCTCAAAGCCCATTCCAAGTGACACACTTCCTCCAGCAAGGCCACACCTCCTAATCCTTCTCAAGTAGCGCCACTCTCTGAAGACCAAGTATTCAAATATATGAGTCTATGAGTGCCATTCTTATTCAAACCACCACAATGATCAATGCAACTTGTAAAACAAAACATTTAATTGGGGGCTTGCTTAGAGTTTCAGAGGGTGCATCCATGACCAGCATGGGGGGGAGCAAGGCAACAGGCAGACAGGCATGGGGCAGTAGCTGAGGGCTTACATCTGATCCATAAGCAGCAGGCAGAGAAAGCAAGCCTGAGCATTGAAACCTCAAAGCCTGCCCCTAGTGACAAACCTCCTCCGACAAGGCCACACCTCCTAATTCTTCCTAAAACTGTTCTAACAGGGACTAAGCATTCAAATATATGAGCCCATGGGGGCATTTTCTTTCAAACCACCATACAACCATATGTCTCCAACAATGAGCTGCTCCTTCTCTGGGGTCAGTGAAGCCGAATACAGAAGAAAGATCTTAGAGGCCAGAGATGAACAACACAGCATCTGAACTGAAACATCTGACTGAGTTCTATGAGTGGCAAAGCTCTAGCACTGTCATCGGACAGCTAGTTAAATTGTGGTCTGTTTCATTTTTAAGACAGATTCTCATACAACTCAGCCTGTCGTTGAACTGACTCTGATGACGAAGATGATCTTGAACTTCTGATATTACTATACCTCTCATCATGCCTAGCCTAGACTGGGTTTTATTTCACATACATGAAGGAGGAAGATAATGCAGGAAGATATCATACATGAATGTTTCATAAGCTCTAGTGACCCAGACCAATTAAAAATTTTATACCTTAGAAAAATATGCAGCCTGTATTAATATTTCTATAGCCCTTCATAGTCTTCGAGTCTCTGACTCCTGGCCATTCTCTAGAGCTCTTCAGCCACCTCTTGGTTTCTGAGTGAGACAAGAGCTCATAGTTCCAGGATTATAGCATCAGGAATCACTCTCCAGCTGCTTTAGCTGCAGCAGCAGTTTGGATGTCTGGGCCCAGAAGCCCATGTTTTATCAGCTCTTGGTGTTAACAGCTCAGCCTGCTGTATCTGTGATAAAGACCACAAGTAGGCAATGAAAGACCATCCGGGGAAGCATTTATTAGGTTTGATGCTGCCAAATCAGGGAAAGCACACCAGAGAAACCCCAGGGGTTAAGCTGACAAAACTGAGAAAAAGCCTGATGATATCAGTAGAAAAGGCACACGACACACTCATGCCTGAATTATAATTCCAGCAACCACAGTCTTGCATATTCAAAGCTCTCAGTTCTACCAGTCATGAGCTTTCATATGCAACGACCACAGGATTTGTTTAGGAACCTACTAAAAACTTCATATTATACCAATCACAGGGAATTTCCCCGAGTTAAGCAACTGCAGGGTGAAGTATTCTTTTGAGGAGGAGGAATGGAGTCTTCCAAATCCCTGCAAGTTGCCCAGAGAAGTTGTGATTAGAGAGCAAAGCCCCTCGAAGCAGGAGTAGTGACTTTCCCCAAAGTACCTATGGTTGCAGGGTCCCTTGCAGCTGGAGTGGGGTTTCCTTGGAGGGACATGGCTGTTTAAAGTAGATGGACTGCCTTGAGTATAGTCTGGCTGTTATCAAAGGGACCAATTAGCTGACAGCTGCCACGTCAAGGCAGACAGGTAGGTATAAGGGAAGGGTCTGAGAGCAGTCATCCCAGGGAACTGATGGTCCACTCCCAGCAGTTTGCTCATCCACAGAAACAACAACAAGCAAACTTGAAAAGATGTTTATAAAAAGATCAAAGAAATTAACATTCTTTGTAGTAATATTCAACGGTGTTTAAACTGGACATGGTGGCTCAAGCCTGTAACAGCAATAGCTGGGAGGCTGAGACAGGAGGATTGCCACTAGCTCTAGGTCAGCCTGGGCTACATTGGCAGTTCCAGACCAGTCTGGGATATAGTGTGAGACCCTGTCTCAAAACAACAATAACAACGAAGCAAAGAAACAAAATAAAAATAAAACAATAATTAACCCCTAACCATGTGCCCTTCGGGAGAGTTGGGCCCTTCTGATTATTTACACCTTAGCATCAACTACATCACTGGTTAAAATTATAAAACATAAAATCATGCCCTAAACTCCTAAGTAAACCAGAATCCCCCAGAAATGGGATCTAAGAATCTGCCTGCATTCCTAACAAGATTCCAAAGATGTTTTCTTTTCCATATACATTGAACCAGGGCCTCATGTACATCCCAGGCTGGTCTGGAACTCCCTATGTAGCTAAAGCTGGCCCTAAATTCCTGATCCTCCTAGCCACTCCTCCCAAGTGCAGTGATTACCGGCGCAGGCTACCACAGGTAGCTTCAAAATAGCTCTTTCAACAGGATCTTACGTAGCACAGATTTGGCATCGAATGTCTGACTCACTTGCTGCTACCTCCCTAGAGAGCTGGACTACAGATGTTCATCACCCTGCCCAATTCCCCAAACAGTTCTGAGGTAGCCGGCTAAGGAGCCTAATATCGACCTCCTTTTACTGTCGTGAACCTGATTTGGGTTCCACCTTGTCATACACACTCATCTGGCCTCAAGGCACAGTACTGAGGCTAGGGAGAAAAGGAGAGGCAGAAGGGAAGAGTGGAGGGGCAGAGTCACAAACCCAGGGGTACAATGCAAATTAGCTTTCTAAACCAGCCTAGCGTCACTGGCTATGGCTGGTGAGGCCTGTTGCGTCTTTTTCTCCTTCTTCCCTCCCTGCTTCCCCCTCCCGACTCGGACCCTTGGACTAGGAACCGCCCCCGCACTCCACTGATTGGCTCCGCTAGCCCGCTCGTCAAACTCTTTTGTGTGGGTGGGCAGCTGATAAAAGCTCTGCCGCAGCCCTGGGAACTGCGCTGCTGGGATCCGGTTACCTCTGGGTAGGTGGCTGGGTGAAGCAGTTCTTTCTGGTAGCTTCGGGTCGCCTAGCGCCTCAGGAAGCGCCAGCCCTTTTTTTCCCTGCAGGGCGACGGGACTGAAAGGCAGACTCTGTAGCTGAAGACGTCGCAACAGCTGCTGTCCACCAGCGGATCGCAGGTTAAAAAAAAAAAAAAAAAGGTGGGGGTGGGGTGGGGGAGGGGGACGCGATTCCTTGGTGAGGAAAGGGGAAAAGGGGAGGGGGCGGGGAAGCCCGAGGGTACTAGGTGGCTCCGGTCTTGGAGAATCAGCAATTGAGAAGCTGGCAGCGTTTGCATGGCCTGACTGCATTGGGATTCACCTGGAAGATGACACTTGGTAGGATTTGCCTGGCCAGGGAAGGGGTTGGGGTAAGAGGCCACCTGGAGGATGAGGGAGAAGGAATTCTGTTTGCCTGGAACCCCCTATGCATCTCCTCTAATTTCATCAGGCACTGTGGGGGTGGGTGTGTCCAATTTATGTTTCCTTTCTCAGTAGCGGCCCATCAAAGCGGAAATCTGAACTTGAATTCGGTGCAGCTGATTGTTAGAGCTGGGTAGGCTGATGGCGTCTCGGGGTGCAATGCGTTTTTTTTGGGGGGGGTTATCATTTTGGATTGTGTTCAGAAGGTGCGAGAGGGAATTTTCTGCCTGGTGACAGCAGAAGAGGCGGGAGAAGAGGGGGAGGGGGAGGGAGTATCGGGATGACGATGACGATGGAGTCTGTTTCTGACCCTTCCCTCCTCTATTGTGGCGCAGTCTTGAAATCCTGAGCACCAGGATCTGCGACACCCTGTGGACTGAGATCTACGTACTCTGAAGGCGAGCTTTCTCACGGGAGGACACAGGTTGCAGAGGCTGGAAATAAAGACTTACTCCAGTTTCCTAGCTAGTGTAAGAATCTGAGAAATCACGGGCTGGAGGGCGGGGGTGGTGGTCTGGGAGCTTTGAGATGGGCAGTGTGGTTGAGACCAGAGATCGTGAGATCTCTTTTTAACCCTTGCGAATTTTGTGACCACTGTGCTTTATTTTGAGAGCCCGACATCAGTTCCACACACCGTTAAATCTAGAATCGAAGCAACAGTTGCCCTCCCTCTCACAGGACTGGTGGGAGGGTATGGATGACGTGACTGTAAAAAGCACTCTGTTAGTACAGAGACATCAGCTAGCTCCAGGAGGCTGCAACTGGTCTCCTTCCCAGTATTTTTAGGACAGTGGATGGATATGGGCTATTGAGGTACGATAATCACAACTGTAGCCTGTTCCCTTATTAATCCCCCCTCCCGTTTTATTTTTTGCAGCCCCTGCTGAGATTGGAGACTACTGCGTGACTGAAGAGAAAGCAATTTTTTTTTTTCTAAAACGCCCTGAGCATCTTGTATTAAGATATCCTATTGCCATTGTCAGGCATGGCTAGCATCCTTGCACGTATGGGTAACAGCCGGGGGCAGAACTCACCCTTGCCACCTTGGGCTCATTCCATGCTGAGGTCCCTGGGGAGGAGTCTTGGTCCTTTAATGGCCAACATGGCAGATAGAAACATGAGGTTGTTCTCTGGGAGGGCAGAACCAGCCCAGGGGGAAGAAACCTTTGAAAACTGGCTGAGCCAGGTCACTGGGGTCCTGCCTGAGTGGCATATGCCTGAGGAGGAAAAGGTCAGGCGTCTAATGAGAACCCTTAGGGGCCCTGCCCGGGAGGTCATGCGTTTGCTCCATGCTGCCAATCCCACCCTAAATGTGGCAGAATTTTTGCGGGCAATGAAACTGGTCTTTGGGGAGTCTGAGAGCAGTGTGGCAGCCCATGGTAAATTTTATAACACTGTGCAGACCCCTGGAGAGAAACCATCGCTGTATGTGATCCGTTTAGAGGTGCAGCTGCAGAATGCCATCCAGGCAGGGGTCTTTGCCGAGAGAGAGGCAAACAAGGCTCGCCTGCATCAGCTCCTTGTTGGAGCTGAGCTGAGTAGAGACCTTCGATTCCGGCTTAAGGGGCTTCTCAGAATGTATGGAAATGAGCCAGAGCACCTTCCCGATTTCCTGGAGTTGATCAGGATGATAAGGGAGGAGGAGGATTGGGATGACACTTTCAATCAGCGAAAGCGGCCCAGAAGATCTGAGTCAATGATGGAGGGGGTGTTCAGTCCTATGGCATTTCAGGGCTCCCCACCAATCATGGTCAGCAGTACTGACTGCAACGTGATAGAGATAGATGACTCTCCGGATGACTCAGATGAGGATGTGATCTTGGTGGAGTCCGAGGACCCACCACTGCCATCCACTAGTGCCCCTCCCTTCCTAGGCAGGGCTATATCCGAGGACCAAGTGCTGGTCATTGAGTCCCCCAACATTTCTGAGATTCAGGCTCCTTCCACCAGCAGCGGTGCTGGGCGTAAGAACAATAGTTTGGGGGAGCTGCGTAGAACCAGGAAGCGAAAGCTCTCAGTCAACTGCGCCCATTGTGGTGAGGATGGTCACTCCAAAGAAACCTGTGACAATGAGACCGATAAGACGGAGGTTTTTGAGAATCTGATCATCACCCTACAGGAGCTGACTCATTCAGAGGAGGAGAGGGCAAGAGAGGCCTTTGGGGAACACTTTGGCTTCTATGAACTACAGTAGATGCCATCCTCCAGGCTGGAATTAACCCTTACCTGTACTCAGAGTCCAATGATGGAAAAGTTGGGGAGACAGACTTCTAATTGCATGAACAAATCCACAAAGTGGCTTTCTTTTGGGGTGGAGAAAGGGTTGTGAACACCAGTACAGTAGAGAGCAATGGCCTGACCTATGGTCTCCTTCCCTTTCCCCACTGCCCGAATCTACTTTCTGTGTGCACCTATCTTCTTGGTGGCTTTATTCTCTTTGTGAAAGTGCTATTGTCCATTGTTCAAGCTTCAAGTAAGAAAGAAAAAAAGTAAAAATTACCCAATACTCTCTACCCCGTGTAACAATTATAAGCCCTTTGGTGACTATCCTTCTAAATATTTCTCTGTACCTATGTTCCTAGATAGATATGTGTATAGACAAAAGTGATCAAATATTCGTGTTGTTCTATATGCTGTATTTTTTCACCAAAATGTATGTTGTGGCTTTGTTTGTCAATAAATAGATAGATATGTGTCAGCATCTACTTTAATGTCTTGTGGTATTATTTTAGGAAGCAAAGGAAAAGGAACAATATGGTGAGAAGGTATAAAGGGGTGGAATTACATTCTGAAGTGTTTTGTTTTTAATAAACATTGATTTGCAGATGAGAAAAAAGCCAGGCCCGGTGATCTAGTTCTGTAACACCAGCTACCTGGGAGACTGAGGCAGGAGGATCTTGAGTTCGAGGTCTGCTTGAGCAACAAAGTTAGCTCAAAGCCAGACTGGGAAAGTTACTTAGACCTGTCTTAAAATTAAAATAAAAGAATTAGCTTAATGACAGAACACTTGTTTAGCATGCATAAAGCTCCAGGCCCAAACCCCACCACACACACACACACACACACACACACACACACACACACACACACACATACACACACACACACACACACACACACACACACACACACACACACACAGAGAGAGAGAGAGAGAGAGAGAGAGAGAGAGAGAGAGAGAGAGAGAGAGAAAGAGAACACTTGTTTAGCATGTATAAAGCTCTAGGCTTAATCTCCATCACACACAGACACACGAAAGATAAATAAATAAATGAGTGAATAAATAAATAAAATACAGAGCACTTGTTTAGCATGCATAAAGCTCTAGGCTTAATACCCACCACACACACACACACACACACCCCACACCACACCATATATACACACATCACACTATACACACACACACACACACACACACACACACACACACACACACCACACCACACACACACCCACACCACACACACACCACACCATACACACGCACCACGTTATATATATACACACACACCACACCACACAAACACACACACACCACACCATAACCCCCCCCCCCCCCACACACACACACACGAAGAAAGAAAGAAAAAAAGGAAGGAAGGAAGGAAGGAAGAAAATAGGCTTAATAAATCTCCTAAAGCAAAGGATCCCTTTGCCACAACTGACTGACTCCCTGCCTGTAGAGCCAAATTATGACCTACACTGACTGACAAATCTCCATGGCTTTCTTCTCTAATATTCCAGAGCAGTCTGCTAGAGGAGCAGCCCAGTGCTGAGGTAGGAGCCCAACATAGGAATTGCAGTGATTCAATTCCTGCTCATGTTAGGAAGGGCATTTCTCCCTTTGGGTAGCATCTTTACATTTCTGCTGGTGCTGCTGGGCATCCTGCTCTCTTCTGTGGGCCGATACTACCCTCTGCTGCCTCCATGATTAAGGAAATAAGAGAGCATTTCCTTTTAGTTAGCATCAGCAAGCTCTCTGCTCCTGACAGTGGCCCAATCCTCAGCCGGTAAATGATAGGCCACAGGAGCCCAAGGACCCCAAACCCCAAATCAACGTAAGATCACTTCCAATTCAATCCACTCATACAGAGGCAAAGGACAGCAGTCTGCTTGTCAGGGCAAGGCAGTGTGGAGAGAGTGAAATGGATTCAGACGTCTGAGTCCCTGAGAACGTTTATCATGTAGGAAATAGAGGCCCCACAGAACTGAGAGAATAAGAGTATGCAGCAGTGGGAGTTGGTGTGTCAGGGGAGAAGCGTGGTGCTTTATGGGTCAGGGGACAGGGATGAGGGAACGAGGGCTAGGAAGACTCACATGGAGATTGGCAGGGACAGAAATCCTGGTAGGAATAACAGACATAGGGTTTCCTGCAGAAACCTGACCTTTGCTGAACCAAGAGTGACCCAGGTTTGTCTCTGAGGCAGGTATTAGGAGTGTCATTTTGCTGGGATTTGATGGTCCACTTAGAAGTAGCAAGAGACCTCAGGCTGAGACCTGGAGGAGGTAGCAGACACCAAGGGCTACCTACAAGAGGTTTTGTCCAGAACCTGACTTCAAGTTTTTTTTCTAGAACAACCACCTCAGCTCCTCCTAGCTTCTCACTCTTGCTCAATTCCATGACCCCACAATCTGTCCTGACAACCGCCACCACCCCTGTCTCTTCGAGCCACATTCCCCAGCATTCATTTATGTGTTAAACCTCAGCCACTGAACACTCATGGCCAGAGGGACACTGGGAGGGATCGCTGCTGCTTCTGACCCTTTAGTTTAGAATTCAGGTCTGAACAAAGACCCAAGAGGGCCAGCCTTCTCATCCCTCCAAAGCCCCTGTGTATCTCTGGCAGCCACTGCACTCTCCAGAGCCAGAGAGGTGACTTCCTGTGCTTCTAGGAGGAAGCTGCTCTGGCTTCTCAGGCTCCTCAAGCCACTGGAGCGTCCAATACCCTCCAGTTCGCACACGTTGTAACTTACTCTCCACCTGCCCCCTGGACACTTGCTGGATGGGTTACTTTTGCTCAGTGATGCGACAAGATACTTGACCAAAGAAACTTATGGAAGGGTCTGTTTTCTCTCCCAGTTCGGGAGTGCAGTCCATCAAGGTGGCAAACACACGGCCGAAGGAGTGTGAGGCGGTTGGTCACACTGGGCCTTCAGTCAGGAAGCAGAGAGAGGCAACGGCTGATGCTTGGCTTTTTCCATCTTAATTTGGGACTTCAGCCCCCCGGGATGGATGGTGCTGCCCACATGCAGGATGGGTCTTCCCTCTGCATCTGAGCTTTTCTGGAAACCCAGAGACATCCCGAGAGATGTTCCCATGGGGATTCTAAATCCAGTCAGGTTGACAATGGAGACTTAAGGATCACATTATCCTTTGCTGAATACCTGTCCCCAGTGTCTGGTACAGTTAAAAAAAAAAGTTCCATGTTCCAGATGAACTTTATTCAACTCCACCCTTCAAATACTTGTTGAATGATTGATCCAAAGACATAGATTATGCTGCCAGCATTGTTTTCTGGCCCCAGGCAGGGTAGAAACACAGAAAGGAAAAGAAACAAATCCTGGCTGTCCAAGACCCCCCTCACTGGAGCTAGAGCAGTGCTTAGAAAATCCATTCTGGGATCCTTTGGCCTTTCTCATGCCCCCCCCCACCCTCTGTTGTGCACGTTCAAAATGCTTAATTAATTTTTTTTATTTTGCTGACCTGAAATTCTCCCCCGCCTCTCTTCCTTCCTTCATTTTATGAGACAGCATCTTTTCCTTTATGCGAGAAAAATCCATTTTTCTCCGATTGGATACCTGGGTATCCAGCTCAGACCAGTGAGACTGCTAAACAAAGGTGACTTGGGAGGACATTTGTGCTACAATACCCTTCCTTTCAAGCTATGACCTTGTTCTCTCTCTTCTGCCTCCACCCTCACTGGTCACGATGGGCTGAAAATGGCTTTTTGTCTCGTCAGAAGCACCTGGCCTCTAAGTGGCCTTTTATATTGTCTCCCTTTTTCCTGGCATCTTTTCCCTTGGTTTCCATGACACCCTTCTCTCATGGCTCCCCCGTCTCTGGCCTTTTTGGTACTCTCTTCTCTGTTTCTTTTGTATCTTTTTCCTCTTTCTGGCCCTTGTATAATTGTAATAAAAATTGAATAAATATCACCACTAAAAATTTAACTATTAACTATATCAGCTCAGTTACCATCACACCAATCTTATAAAATAGGCAAGCCCATGATCTTATTTCTGGAATGAGGAAACAGACTGAACATCTCAGAAACTCACCTGGAATTGTGAGGCTTGTAAGCTGAGCAACTTGGGGGTCGAATGACCCTTTCACAGGGGTCTCCTAAGACCATTGGAAAACACAGACATTTACATTACAATTCATAACAGTAGCAAAATTATAGTCATGAAGTAGTAATGAAAATAATTTTATGGTTGGGGGTCCCCCCAACATGAGGGGCTGTACTAAGTGGTCACAGCATTAAGAAGGTTGAGAACCACTGCTCTAGGGTTACTGACTCCCAAGCCTCAACCTTTTCCCTGCCTCATGGGTTCATAGCACCCTGGCATGTGATGTGTCTTTTTACACACAAGGGCTGCTGGTAGTAGATGTGCTTTGAATATGAAATTAAGACAGGGCTAACCCACTGTAGGCTCTTGAGAAATGACAACTGCTGGGTTAGAATGTGTTTTAATCTGCTCTAGGAGGAAGGACAGAAGAAATGAAGTGCTGTCCCTGAGCTGCACCCTGTGCTTCCTTAGCTCATTTGAGGATGTAATAATAGTCACGCTCCTTGAGCTCCACTGAGCCTGGTCCCTGGCAGCCATGATAAGACTGTCATGTTCAGGAATGCCTGAGATTTGTTAAGGATGGTAGGAAGGTAAGAGAGGATTTATTGAATACTACAGTGGATTTCCTAGGCCAGCCCAATGCCACCCCCACTACCCATGCATGGCAGGGGGTGTGGTTTGTGCATCCCGGGGGAGGGGCGATTGCTCCTTTTTTTACATCTTAAAGGCTTCCCGTGTCTTTTTAGACTGCTCAGAACCATCAAAGCCATTATCCCCAGTAATATGTGACAGGCATTTGGGGTGGGGGGTGGATCTTGGAGTAACACAGAACTTCCCCAGTGCATGGCAGGAAGGAGGCGTGATTGATGTCTGAGAAGTCCTTACTATCCAATTAAGTATGTGTTGCCACAACCAGGGATCCCAGGGACAGGACAAAAGAGGGGTGGGGTGGGACAGAGAGTGTAGGTCTGGGTCTTGAGGCTTCATCCTGAAAGGATATATGGATCGCCTCCTGCAGCAGTTCATCTCAGATCAGGCCTGACAGCTTGGCTGACAACAGTCTCCCACAACTGTGCCCTTAGATAGCTACTCTGTTCACGAGCTCTACTTTAGAGTCAAGGACATCAAGGTGCGATGAATTCAGTCACTCTTCGAACATCACACAGCCAGTATGGGCTACAGATAGAACTGAACTTCCGATCTGCCTCTCCAGAGTCAAAACTCATTACAGGACATGGTTCAGTGATGAGGAGCAGTGGATCCTCTTCTAGAGCACCCAGATTTGTTTCCAAGCACCTACATGACAGCTCACAGTCATTTGTAACTCCAACTTTAGGATCTGATGGCCTCTTCTGACCCCCAAGGTCTCCAGGTATATATAAGGTGAACAGACACACTTGCAGGCAAGACATCC